GGAGGCCACGGCCCCGCTCCACTGCGACCGAGCCCCCTGGACCACACCAGGCAGTGTTCACCGGCGGCCCACGGAGCCCTACACGGAAACAGCTCCGAGACCCCAAACAGGGCTCCGCTCTCAACTGCGGCCGTGACAGGGGTCCGCGAAGCAACGAGGACGTTAGGAGGGGAAAGGGGGACCGGGGACCATCTCTTCCGCCTGGAGAAATCCACCGTCCCCTTGTCCCCCGAAACGGGGCTGCCGTGAAGACCTGGTGAATCCTGCAAACCCCCCTCAAGCGAGGTTCCCCTTCCTCGAGGAGCCCGACGGCCGGATGGAAACGGGCTTCCTGCTGCCACGTTACAACCCGGCGTCCCGAGAGCCATCGCGCCAGGGTCAGGATGGAGAAAGGACACTCTTGGGGTGGGCAAAAGGGCCTCCGCGGGCCAGCCCCTGCCACTCCCCCTACCCCCAGGCCAATCAGGGCTTGGGGGCGGGAGCGCGTAAAGTCTCCTCCCACAGCCAGGCGCACCCAGTGCCTAGTGGGAACTGTCAGCTGTTCAGAACAACTGGCAGTTCTCTGGGGGGTGGGGAGGAAGAGGACCAAAACTTTGCTCCCTCACTCCCAGACCAATCAGGGAAGGGAATCACAGAAGTGTCCTGGCCCCGCCCCTTCCAGGACAGCCTGGGGCCACTTAAAAAATTTCTGAAGGGACCCCCGATCAAAAATGATTGCCCACCCCTGGTCTATACACACCCGCCCGCCTCTGTCCACCCAGAAGGAAGTTCTCGCCCTTTAAAAGAAAAGAAACCCAAGAAACCCCTCTGACTGCGCCGACTTCAAAATGCCCAAACCCCTTTAAAACGGGACAGGAAGCCTGAATTTGACCCTTTGCCATTTTCCACCGACGGGCGCTGTGTCACGACTCTACGCGGAGCAATAACTGGTCTCGTGTCAGGGCGGAGCCCTAAGACCAGTTCACACCTGTGCCCGGGGCAGCTAGGACCGGTCTGCGGACGGGGCGCGCTGCTCGTTGACGAAAGCTGATAAGAGTCGCACACTGGCCGTGCGCAGTGAGGGCTCCTGCCTCTTCGTCCTGGCCCCATCCCTGAACACACACCACTTGCAGAATGCTGGAGTCACACACATGGTGGCCTGGGGGATATTGACAAGAGAACGGGTCTGATTGGGATCTTACGCGCCCAGCAAGACTCCGGAGTAATTTACACTGTGTCCGTGGAGAGAACCAAAGGAAGGCCCGACGGGGCGTGCACGGGCAGCTTTCTCTGCTCATTCCCAGGGCGACTGGGAACCGCTACCGGCTCAGAACCTGCACCCACACCAACTCAAATCAACAGGACCACATTCGCGTGTTCTGCTGCTTCGGGTAGCAAAAGGAGGATGTGAGGAGCCTGAATCGCAGCTGCGATCGAGGAGCTGCTCCACTCAAGGCAATGGATTTACACCGCTGCAAAAACTGGAGTAAGAGGAGGAGAGAATCAGGTGGACCGCGCAAAGCTGCGGGGCAGCAGGCCAGGAGCAAGGAGCCGAGGCATTGAGCCACCGCAGAATCCGGCCCAACAGGAGACCAGAATCGGGCCCCTTAATTTTAAAAAGGGTCCCCCCAGGTTCAAAGCCTGCGTGTGTCTCACCAACGTTCGCGGGTTCCCCGAGCCCGGGCGCTGTGCACGGGAACATTCCAATGCCTGACGTAAAGAGACGCCCATCAACCCTGAGACTAGCTCGTCTTTAACATAAATGCGCCGCCGTCTATCGGAACAATGCATCCCGGGTCCCCGGGGAGGGGAAGGCAGGAGGGTACCAAAGCAAACCGTTTGCACTAAGTGATCACATTTATTTGAATATTTTTTTTGTGTTCTAAAATTGGTTACAGAATAAATACCTGTGCCTTATAGCAGGAAGTCCACTTTTTTTTTTATACAAAGTGCTTGTTACAGGAAGTTGCATCAGCGATACACGGGAAGGGGCGTGTGCAACGTGGCAACGCTTCGCTCCCGGAAACTAAAACAGAATTTTTTTTGTTTACTTTTTTTTTTTTAAGTTTCTTTTCCCTTTTTTTGTTGTTTTTTTGTTTTGTTTGTGCATTAAATCTCCTGCCATCGTGTATTTACAAATCTCCGAAAGAAGGGGGAAAAAAAGCCAGGATGCATGAGAAGTAGCCTTTCAACACACACACACGCACACAGGGAAAAAAAATCAGCCTTAAAAAAAAAAAAAATCTACAAATATTGTTTCTTACTGAATCAATGAGAGAATTTTCTTTAAAGGGAAGGGAAAATAAAAATGAACCAAAAAGAGCCCAGAGATACTGAAAGAGAAAAGGAGCCACTGTCCCTGCGAGTTTTCAAAACCAGAACGTAGCAAGTACGTGTAAAATTCAGAACCCGATGTCTGATTGAAAAAACCTCATTCATTTCTCCTCGTTAATTTCATCCTCGTCTTTTTCCAGCGAGGGGAGGAATTTGGAAAAATTAAATTAAAACCAATACTTGAAAGAGAGGAAGAGGAGAGAAAAAGACCTTCCCCAACGGCGAAGAGCGGAGCAGGAAGGAAGGGGGGGGTGCAATTTAAAAAGACAGCAAGAAAAACTGGACGCGGAGCTCCGAAAGCGTCAGGAACACCACTCCGTGGCGAGTCTGAGGGTTAACTGGTGACGTAGTGTTTGGTGGAAGGTTGGCCATAGACTCTGTAGAAATCCTGACGTCCGTGCTGCTGGGAGGCGTCTATCCAGTCCCTCACGGCAAGTCCGGGAAGCGACTGAGGTACAGCCGGCGCGGGGGGAAGAGGGTGGGAATACTCCTGCGAAGAGACTGTCCAGGGAAAGTGACCCGACCGGGGGTACGGCTGATGCCCGCTGTGATTGGACACCGAGGAGCAGTAACAGTTGTCCACTGAACAGACCAGGATTTTGCGCCCGCCGTACTGGGACAGCACGGACTGCTGAGATGAGGTGCTACTGGGGTAGTGAGATGGGTTGAAGACGGACCCCGAGTGCACCGGCTGCGGGCCGCTGGGGAGTCCGACGATGTGCTGCGTGGAGCTACAAGGCACCATGGGTTGTGCGGACTGGCCCTCGCCAGCGGAAGCGCCCTGGCTCATGTACTGGCTGGCCACAGGTCCAGGCGATGGCTCTAGGAAGCTGCCTTCGGGGAAGGCCGTGGAGTGCTTGCGTTTCTCCGCCCCGGGGTTGCTGACGCTGCACGGGTACATGGGGATGCTCTGCAGGAAGGGGACCGGGGTGCTGAAGGGACCTGGAGGGGGAGAGAGAAGAGACAAAACGGCCAGATCAGAAACCACCCCTGGAAGGCAAGAGGGGACGCTCACAACCAGACCACAGGCGCTAACGCTACAGCGGAGCCCCCATGGGAACCAAACAGCACAGACCACCCACCCGGCCCCACCAAGCAGTCCCCCTTCTGGTAGGGTTGCCCGGTGTCCGGTTTTCACCCGGACATTTGTGGCCCCTGTCCGGTAAAAAAAAAAAAAAAACCCCAGAAAATACTGGACATGTAAAATATCCGGTATTTTCTGTTTTTCTCGGACGGAAGGCCGGCGGGGCCACTTTTCCACTGCCACGTCTGGCATTGACAGCGGGGATTTAAAGGCGCAGTGATGATTTTTTTTTTTTGGCTCAACAAGTTTGGTCCCCCATTTCCCCACCCCGCCTATCAGCTGTTCCAGGTGGGTAGGAAGCCTTGAGGGGGAGGAGCAGAGGCAGGAAGAGGCGGAGCATAGGGGGGAAGTAGCAGAATGTGGGTGGAGCTTCAAGGCGGACAGGGGTGGAGACCCCCTCCTCCTCAGAACGCTGAAGTTGATGCTTATTAGGAACCAGGCCAGCAGCCCAGTGGATTGTCCCGGCAGTCGTTTTCTGGTGCATTTCACCCCGCGTGGCTTGCACGCCACAGGGGAGGGAGGAAGGTCCTTGTGAACAGCTTTCCAGCGGCCCTACGCCCCAGCGTGCTTGCACAAAGCTCTGCACACGCCTCGGAGCCGGCTCGCAGACAACGGCCGGACCCCGACATCGGCGTGGCGCTGACGTGGAAGAGAGAGCACCTGCTACCGAATCACAGTGCTCTCCACGGCAGGGCCGACTAG